ATTCTGCGGTGCCGCCGAAAAAAGAAATCGAATCAAAGGACAGAGCGGGTCCAGGTGGACGAGGGTAACCAGCGAGGAAGCGGGGAGAGAGCCCAGGGTTCTCGGGTATTATCTACGCGGTTCGGACTTCTCGTGGCCAAGAAGAGAAGAGAGGCCCTCCGTGTTCGCGGCCGCGAAATAACGTCAGTGGTTTGTGGTTTTTCATACGTGCAAGAAGTCACAATGGTTTATCCCGGAGCGATCCCTCTATGTAGCGCGGAATTTCCCCTCCCCCTACCTCTGTCTTTCTTACTGTTTTCTCTCTCATTCTCTCGAGGAGAGCTTTGTGGACGGGGCGGTGGAAGAAAAGCAAGAAGAAGACGAGCAAGAAGAAGAGGTGGCTTTTGTTCCCACCTCGAACGAGCTCGACGCGGTCTGCCACTTTTTCACGTTTCCCCTCACCCGCCTCGCCCTTTCTATGCCTTTCTCTTTGTTTCACCTTCTTCCTCGTCCTCATCTCTCCCTTTCACCACTTCCTTGTCTCTCTCTCTAGGTAGTATCCTCTTCCACGGCTGATGCCCTTTGTCTCGAGAAAACGCGATTAGAAACCCTCGCAGTGCAATCTTAAGGCGGTTCCCGCTTCCGTCATAATGGCGAGTCTATTAGTCTCTTCAACAGCGAGGGATGATTTTAGCGAATTCTTTGCTGCCGTTTTCTCTGTAGCCTTTCTGGCTTTCTCGTCTCATATCATCTTAGAAATACACTAGTTTTATTTGAAATGGAAAACATCTGTTATTTGATTTTGTGCAAGTATCGTGATGTAACGATATTATCAAATAGTAGCTTTGATAACATTAGAGTACGTAGACACACACACAAACACACACATTGATTTAGGTATTTTTATGTTTTAATATCTGTTCATATAAAAACCTACAACAATATTTGCCGATTTCAAAAAGAGATAAAATCAATAATCATGTGATAAAGTTGAAAGATAATTGTACTTTTTTATTGCGCTCTGTCTATGTATAACCTGTAACTAATTACCTTACTAATATTATATTTAATTATTACAATTATACTACATTCCACTTCAATGTACTAACTTTGACTCTAACCGTATACCGAAATTAAATACGCGACGCATTTAATGCACCGAGGAGAGGCAGCTCATTCTCTTTAGAGTGACAGGCTTTATTAGCTGTCGGAAACAATGAAAACTAAAAAGAGCTAGTAACCACTGGCAGGATCTACCGGGATCGGGTCCCGATGGGTCGGCAGAGGAAAGAGGATCCTAAGGAAACGACAGTCGGAGACAGAGGCCGATGCTTTGTGGTCCATAAATAAGTTGCTGGCCGATGGCAGCAGCACGCGGGTATACCAGTCACCGGCGCGAGCGTAATCGCGTTTGTATTTTGAGCGACAGCCAATATTTAACTCTGGCAATGGCAATCCGTACGACGACAACGACGACGACTAGAACGTGCCGACGGGGCTACCGGAGGGCCTGGTAAGTCGCGTGTTCCGCGACGGAAGGCGAAGGTCGAGACTAAAGCTGTGCGAGCGCGTGATCCCATCGACCGTTCGATGCACCGACAGAGAAGACCTTACATGGCGCCTTCGACAAGATAGCCGGAGACGACCGGCGACAACCGCGATTCCTGGAAACCCGGTCGGAAAGACCTGGACGACGATAAGTCACGAAAGTGACGAGGCCATGCCTCGACGGTGCGGCCAGACGTTCCAGATTCCAGGAACATTGCGCTCCCTCCGTTCCGTCGAACACACTTTTCATAGATTTTCTCGGATCTAAAAAGGCCCGCCGGGCAAAATCAAGAATAACGATATGTCTCCGGGAGAGAGGGACGAAGAGCTAATTATACTCGTTAGAAGATAATGACGTTGATTGTTAGTTTCAGGTTATCGAAATATAAACGGCGATAACAAGGATACGATTATTTAACTTAATGATTATAATATCGTCATAATTGAAGAGTCGCGGGAGAGCACGGCATCAATAATTGTTATCATAATTTATAACTTTCTCCATGCGAGTTCAATACGTCGCGGTTTCGACAAACTAAGCGAGTGCTTCCACGGGAGCCACGAGTCTTGGGTAACCGCTGAGAAAATTCAAAGATTAAGAGACCGAAGAGGATATTTACATTATCGTCCGCGATTCCGCCATTCGTGCGCGATTAAACGATTATCATCTTATCAATAGGTAGTTAGACCGCCGATAGCGTTTTTCGCAGTTCATAATTCGAGATAAGACGTGAATACAGGTGCGGAGAACTCCATACACGTGACAGATATCTTTAATTTTTAATTAAAGAGAAATACACAAAGATGAGAAGCAATTTTAGCAAGAAAAACAGATTAATTAAAATAATTGAGTAAAATAATTTAAGTAGCAAACAAATAAATTATCGATTATTGCACCAAATATTCAAAACTCCTTCACTTCTATTGTGCGAGGATGTTAATTCCAAATGTGAAAACGGATGATTAGGAATATTTTTCCGGAGTAATAATTACAGCTCTCGCTAATCGTGGATTCCGAAAATGGATTTCTGCGGCGACGCGAAACAATGTCAGCTTCCTGGTGACTACGAAAGAACGGTAATCACATTAGCGGTCGCGACCGGAGTGGCACGTCCGCAAAGTGTCTTTCGCCATTACCTCGACTTATACCGTAACAAATCTGTTTCGCGGGGTCAGCTCTGTCACCAAATCATGTCGGTTTTGCTACGCTACTCCGAACCGAGAGCCGAACAACCGACTAACAAACGCGCACGGGCCCCAAGATAATGTGCGGCGCCAAAAAAAGCTTATTAATACCCTGACTGGCAAAAATAGTGTTTTAACCGAATGATTCGCGACGGATCGCGTATTTTCAAGAACACAGTCAAGCTATACGGGAGTTAATTACGTTCGATATTTTTTTGCTGGATTTCCTGAGTGGTAAGTATCGAATCATGTGTCGATTTCTCAACGTTAGTCCTCATTTAAGTAGGAAATTGAGATACTAAGAATACGATGATACCCAGCCCCGAGGAGAGAGATTCAAAAATTGATCGCTCGATAATAAGCGGTGACATTTTCGCCAACTCGAATCCCGAGTAGGAAAAAATCCGCGGGTTACCCCTTAATTAGAAGACACCGACGAATAACGCGAGGCGATTGGACGAGATAAAGCTGCTGGAAGTTGCGGGAGCTAAGTGGCCCCTATTCCGCTACCGACAGCTCCCAAGGGTTCCTAATTGTCAAGATCGAGCACCATAATTACACCCTCCGCGATTCGTTCTCGTGTCTCGGAGCTCGTCTCCCCGTTAACGGAACTGGACGAATTCTCTGCGTGGCAAAACGATGCCAAGGAGCGACATCGAATGCAGGTAGGCAACTGTAGTTCGGAAATTAAGAAGTCTGGCCTGATAAGAAGCGATAAAAAACCACTTTCCACGAGAGAACCTATGACCTCTTTTTTTCTCTCCCCTCGCATGTTTCTCCTTACTATATTACAAATACGCGAAGAATCCATTAGGGACCAAGTAGTGAGATAGATATTATCATTTATGGTTTAATCGTAAGATGTCAAAGGCTCTGTGAAAATGAAGCCAAAAGAAACAATTAAGTTTAAAGCTGATGAGACAATATTCAAAGATATATTCATTAAATAAAGATAAAAAAAAGAGTACAAAGTTGCAAGTCCCTAATTCCCGAAAAAAAGTAATATCAATAAATATTACAATACCAATATTAAGTTCCAAGAAAATAAATAAAAATTAATGAAAGAACAATATGCGATTATCTTAATTTTGCATGCAACCGTTATTCCAAACCTATTAATGGTTTAAAATCAAAGTATTTTTAAACTTTACAGCAGTGGAATCCTGCGTGACTCGACAATGGCAGAGTCATGTTACATAGTGCTCGAAATAAGTTTATTGACACGTTAGAGAGATATCGCACGGCAACTTCCGAGAAATTAAAACCTCGGCAAATATAACATGCGAACACCGCGGAACATGTATTGCTGTATTTTTAACCGAGTATCAGTCACTTTCTGGAAATTCATGCTGATATCGTACTTCCTTCTTCACTTCTTTTTTTGTAGTTAAAAATGTGATCTTGATATAGAAATAAATATGCTCAAGGCGATAAACATAAATATATTCTTACTACATAAATTAGCTATACATCATAAGAGTTTATTCAACGCAGTCATCAGACTAATTATCTCACCATTGTCTCACAGTTGTGATTAAATTATTAGAAATTTTAATTGCTTTGTTACATAATTTAGGTCATTTAGAAGACTAGCATGACACGCACTCGCGTTTTCTTATCCAGGTCGATATTTGTTTTTCGTCTGTCATTTGAGCTGTCGATGAAGTAATCGAGCACAAATTCCAAAGCTGCCGCGTGATGCCTACTCGCGGCCGCGTGTTTCATAACTTTCCTCAAACCGCTACGGTTATTTGCGTCCTGTTACACTATGACTCGTTATGATTTCGCCGACTAGCTACCGGTACAATCGACAAAGCTATGTTCGTACAAAATGCATCACGTTCGCAAATCAATCACATCGCGTCAAAACATAGCAAGTTCTCTCAAATGATACTTAAAAAATATTCGACAATAACGAACATGAATGTCGACATATCGCTAATTCGTACGGAAATAGTTCAATCGAAAACGATTGTGTTGTCACGATTCCCTTATTTGTAAAAGTCATTAAAAATTCATTAAAGTTTCGACCGATGAATGTTATAGACGGAATGATCGACGACGAAAAACTAATGATGATAAATTGAGATTAACCGCAGGCGTTCATGGCCAAACAACTGGTCGAACTTAAAGAGAAACCTAATTAAGTAGATCGGACAGCCAAATATAATAATTTACGAGGTTTTTTCATGGTATTTTCATTAAGAATTTGCCTCGTGATATCGTTATAGCTAGCGATATTATTCAGTCATTTTTTTTCCATATCATCGATCAAATGTTCGACTCACCAGTATAACACCAGGCCGGCCAGACGACAGGGCTCTCGGTGTCCAGCTCCCTCATTCTCTCAGCGACCCGCGGACATCTCCACTCCGTTCTTCCCGACGTGGCGGTAAGAATGTCCAGTTTGGCTATCAGCGTCAACCTCCAACCGAGTGAAAAATCTCCGGTTCTGCCTGTCGAAAGTCGCAGGAGAACCTCGTTCGGCGATCTTCCAGATATAACCACCTGTTGCTTCGCAACAGAGTTTTACGTTTCAGGTAGATTCGTCGAGGACCTCGACGTTGTTCACTCGACCAAAGTTCGGAGACAGACCTTTGCGAGAACGCAGGTCGTTATTTGTATTCTACGCCGTACACGTGCAACTGAAGGATTCCGAGAGACAGATAAGTCTCTGTATGAGGCTTCGCCGTCACCGCGCTCCGGTTCCGCCGCTGATAAGGCACGCAGGACGCGTCATCGGCTCGCCCGGCCCTCGTTTCACTTCCTTTCCACCGCACTGTCGTCCTCTCCCGCTCGTCACGTTGCTTCTCTGTGACACGCTAGCCGTCGCGAGATCTCGCTGTCGTGTAACAGTAAGCGACACGCGTGTTACACGAAAAGGTGTCTAGCACTCGACTCGAATCGCGCACTAAATGTCACGGAAATGTCAATGAGGTGCCGCCGACGTTTGACACCTTCACCGAATGTCCCCTTCCTCAGCGCACCTTGCCACTCGTTCGATAATAGCTGTCTTCAGGATCGCGCGGATCACCTCGGATCACAATCGAGTCTCAAACTATCACCAGACGATTCTTTCTCTGATCTTTCTCACTCGGAGCGCAATCATTAGGCCATTCATGCAGATATTAAAAATTGTTGGTACGGTACTACACCAGATCTACCAATTCATTCTTAACGAACAAGCTCAATCACGACAGGCTTGTCCTCTCTCATCGTGACAAATTTCACCAATGTAAAATCTTGCTTCCTACTCGATCGAGTCAAAAACAGATTCACCGCCAGATTTCTCGCATCCGAATATTTCAACAGGTCACTCGTTCGTCACGAACTTCCGACTGTCGGTGTCAAGAGAACGCGGGTTCCATCAGGAATATCACTCCCTTCACCTTCACGGTGACCGCGGGTTCACTTTCTTCACCCTACTGTAGACCGGCGATCGACCGGCCCCGGTAATCGCAGAGTGTACTCTCGACCCGGTCGATCCTTGCCTTCAGTCCGGGAGGATCGTTGACGTACCGCGGGATGACACGACACTACAACACGGCACTGCTGCGTGAAGTGATGTCGAAGAGGATAGACGGATAGAGAGAGACAGTAGGGGGAGAAAGAAAGAGAGAGATGGAGACATACACAGGTAGGGGGATAGATAGGGGGAAAAAAGACGGCAGAAGAGATAGCCAGCGGGGAAAGGAAGAGAAAAAGAGAAAGAGGGAGAGAGAGGGGGGAAAGAGAGAAAGAAGAAAAGAGAGGGAAAAAGAAAAGAAGAAAGAGAAAGAGAGGGAAGAACCTGACCACCGGACACACTGCTCTGCCTTGATAGGCACACACACACAGGTAAGCGGAGTGGCACTTAGGTTGGTGCACCTGCCGCGAGAGTCCGCGTCGTAATGGGAGCGGGGCAACGGGCGGCAGGTAGGCAGGCCCACCGCTCGTCAACGGAGAAGGGGAGTCAGTCACATGGCGAGTGCCTGGCAAAGGAGGTGGTAGCCGAAGTAAATGGTGGTGGATGAACGAAGGTGGTGATGCTGGCCGGCCGCGACGACGGCGGCGGCGGCGGTGGTGGTAGTGGTTGTGGTGGTGGTTGCCAGTGGTGGTGACGATGGTAGTGGTGGTGGTGAGTCGTGGTGGAACGCAGGAGTAGGAATCAACGGAGTCCTCGGGAAGAGAGCTGACTCGGCCGCTACCGGTGTAACCTGTCGCGACGATCAGTGTCGGTGCGGCGATTCCGCCCGGGAAAAATTCGAGATGATTTTCTCGCATCGCAGAACGATGGCGACGAGATAAATATGAAAACGAGAGGAAGGGGGTAGGATAAGAGTCCCAGAGGATTCTCGTGAGATGCACAGCCGGATGATGACCGTCGAAGATAAAAGCGGCGCACGAAGGGAGTTTACGTTAAGGCAATATAAATAAAATCTCCACTGGGGCTCAAATATAAGATAAACAACGTAAACAAAGATGGAAAAGCCAAGGAGACATATACTATTTTCTGAATATATAAAACTAGGGATACAAAATAGATCAGATAAGAAATCGCGGCAGGAGAAGTTAGAAGAAATAAAGTGATCGACGATTTAGTATATAAACGATATCGGTGGATTACGCAATCCCATAAAAATTATAATAGCAATCGAAATAGAAGTGGACCATTACTTCCCATTGTTTACTGCGAGGAAACATTTAATTAACATTATTATTGGGACAGCCGGCACCGTCTTTTCCGCGTGCTTTGGTTACCGATTACGGTTAATCGGGCTGCTCTTTGCCTGGGTTCCATATTTGGACCCACTTACGCGACAGAACGGAAGAAAGCCGTTGAATTCCAGGCGCTTCCCGAGATCATTGATAGAACTTGACGTTAGATTGTCCCACGAAGCTTCTTCCAAGCACGCCGTTCAATGTCCAGCTATCAATGCTACGTCTTTCTTCGCGTCTGTGATCGGTCGTATAGCAGTCTAGGTGGACACTACGTCAAGTTGAAACAAGACGCGAACATCTCGTTTGCTTGTATCCCATAGTTCTTCAGGGATCGTAAAACAATATCATCGGCTGGCTCTCTCTGGATGGCGCGATTCTGTTTTTGTAACAGTTCTACTCTGCCGTGTTTTTTCGCGATTCTCTATAAACGTGTGCACTTAAAAAGGCAAAGAGAGAAAATTTCATTATATATTTATAAATAACAATCGTTGATATTTTTGTATCATTTCACGAAAATAAAGTATCTGATCATTTAATAACATCGTGTTAAATCGCATAAAATATATACATTTTCTGTCTTAGTTTTTTAAGCTTGCGTCATAAGTAATCGTATCAAAGCTTTGCTGGTGCCTGGATTAACCATGATAACTTTAATTATATTTTAGACTCTCCTAAGCAAATCGCAAAATATCGCCATGTCATCTGCGCTCGTCTTCTTGTCTAGCAATTAACATATCTCGTAAATACATTCATAAATTTCTCCGGACAGTCCGGACGCTAATAGTCGGATAAATAGCTCTAATAGAAATTCTCTCGCCATTCAGATTTTTATTACTCAAAAGTCAGATCCTATTCATCCATCTAAATTAACAATAATTACGCAGCACCCCAGGGGAATCCTATATAACACCGTTGGAGCGAGGAACGTATTATCCCGGAGATTATTCTGGAAGCGTCGCCTTAGGTGTCCGGACATGTTCGGAATCTTGTGCCGCAGTGGGATACCTAACGTTCAGAGCCGAGATGAAAGCTTGTTACGTTAACCATCATATTGTTTCGCGAAGGCGAGACGCTGCTTCGACCGCGCGGCGCGGCGGCGCAACGAGTAGTAGTTCGCCCCGGCTTCGAGGTGTACCATCAAGGACGATATATCGCGTCCGATATATATCACTCGGGAGAGAAAGAGCACTCTTCCACTTCTACACACGTCGAGTTTATTATATGTGCGTACATATCCGTACGCGCCGCCCGGAGGCTGCGCCCCGAGCTCCTCGTTTAGATATCCGCTCCGCGAGATTATTCGAGAACGAGCGACGGAGCGACGAACGCTCGTCGAAACGTCCCGATGGACGTGGTGCATTATATTGGTATCCTATCTGGCATCGATCGCCGGGCTTCCGCAGGTAGCGATTACCACCTCGACCATTTTCTTTCTCGTATAGAACTATCGGCGATTAAACGGTCCGTCGACCTCCTCCGCACCTTGCCGCGCGCGCAACGGGATGTATTAATCGTTCGACTGGATCGATACGACTCGTCCTTGTATGCCCGGACCGGCGTTCATCAACCCACTCGTAGGAATTAATTAGTGCGCTCTCGCGATGCCGTCCAGCCGATTAAAAATCTCGCGACCGGCCGGCCATGATGATATAGAGTAAGTAACATGAAAGTTGTAAATGATAACTTACTACGAAATATATTCAAATATATTCTAAAGTTAAATACCTAATTTTACCTGATAAGCTATCGACATGTAAATTCAATTTTTTTGAAAATTGTAAAAATATTGTATGTTTACAACGTTCTTTGTATGTACATTATTAAAACCCTATATGAAAATATAATAAAAAAATGTCTGTACTTTTAGATTATAAAAATAAAAAACTTCATCAGTACCGCATATTTCCTTCTCTTTTTTGCTTATTTACACGATGAGAAATGGGATGTGTTAGCTTTCATGATAAAAACCGTCTCACCAGCATCGAATAATCAATTCAAATGTAACAATATGCATCATTCTCACGACTTGTCAGAGCAAATTAATACTGCGGGGTAAAGCAGCCTACACCTGTTATTCAAATCCATTTTCCCCGGTGAATGAATGACAGGAAACGCGTGTTTGAGCGCGCCTCGTTTCGCACCGCAAAAAATCCCGGGATACCGTATTCACGGCATATATCCACGACGGAAAACGTTTTCACGTTTCTGACACGGCAGTTTTCCGCAGACGCGGACTAGCTAAACGCGAGTTCCATCTGGCCGTGGCTCATCCTCAAAGACGAAGTAACCGGTGGCGTTCATGAATACGTGTTCATTATTTATGAGCAACGCCTCTCGGCATCAACTGGACCGGCCTCTCTATCTACCGGTAGACACCCGGGAGAGGAAGGCAACCGGATAACGTATTACGTCTTCATATTTTTTTTCCCCTCGTGCACGCCCGGTAATTAAAGGTGCCCCGTCAAGGACCCCGATGATTTACCGGCGATGCTGCGCCGACCTGATAAGATGGGACCGGTTGATAACAAGGCTCCTTTTGGTATATCGTGAGCCGGATCGAGTTTTACTAGACTGCATCGCCACTTTATAATATTCCTATATCTTCTTGCTGCTGGCTACCGCCCGATCAAGTTTATCGCATGTCTCACGTGACATGCATGTCATGTCACACAAGAATTTTATATCGTCAATAGCAAATGTATTAAATTAAAAATGGCATTACATGGTCTGCAATTCATAAATTATTAAAATATTATTTCATGTGTGAATAATTTTCTAACAGTGTTGAGATCCCTGACATTTATACATTTATACATGTAATACCGTTATAATAAAAATAAAATATCAGTCTGTCGCAGAATCAAGCTATAAATATCACTACATAAACATACATCGATCATTATATTTTCTTGAGATGGATAAACATTATGTATATTCGAGATGATTATTGACAGCCGTTAATAGAACGGTCACGCCTAGTCGATCGAAAAGCGTCGTGATCCCCGAGCCAAGCATCCGCGGCATCGCACCGGCAAGCAGCGCCGAAGGATCACGACGGAAAAGAAGCAACTCGCGGTATTCCCCTTTCTCATTACGGTATGCTGGATCAAAAGTGCTTATATTTCATAGACTTGTTCTGGCGTGCGGCACGAGAACCCCGATGGCCTCCGCTCGTGCGCGCGTGTACGGAGAAGTTACGGTCCCGTTGAGTGGAGAAATTTACGTTCGTCAGCAAAACGAGTACCGCGACGAACGGGACGAACGACGATGACGATGGCGAACGAGGTGGACGGGCACCGGTGCCCGATGATGATTTCGACGATTTAATTGAAACGTCCGGCCGACACTAAAATCTCCCCTTCTCCGGCACCTCTCTCTCGCGCGCGCTGTCTACCGCGCCGCTCTTCTGCCACTCCTCTCTGCGCTTCTCTCGTGATGATCACCGCGATCTCTCTCGAGCATCATGCATTAGTGTTTTTCAAACCGAGCCATAATGTTGCGCTGGCATCGGCGAACTTGCTGATGCTGATGAGTCGATGCGAAATCGACGATTAGAGCGAACATTATGTGCGTGCGTGTGTGCGTGCATGTGTGTATGCGCGTGTGCGTTATCTTAGGAAAGACATTTCCGAAAAACCATAAAGTCAAGGAGCGCTTTTTTAGCCAATATTCTAAAGTAGCATATGCAAATTAGGGCGCGCGTTCTTTTATGTTCCGAGGAAGTGTTCGTAAATTTTACAGGTTGGCCCAAATGCATCGCGATCGTGACCGATTCAATATTCCGCTATAAAATTAAGCGTTTGACAAACGTAGTCGTAAAAAGAAATAGATTCCTCGCCTTGGAAATATATTCAAGATCGACAGATTCGGGAATCATCTCGCCGGAGAGATGCGCGGCGATAGCCCTGACGGATTTTTCCTATAATAGTTCGGTCGATGGAAGTTTTATTAGCTATTTGATTTACGGCAAGGCATGACCGGCGCGTAATTTGCTGCGCTGTATTTAATTTGCTTTAAAAGTGATCGTGGAAGAGGGATAGGATGAACCGACGAGCAACGCACGTCTCCGCGCGGGATGTAAAAATGAAAACTGGTGGTTGCTTTACGGAATTTTTATTATGACGTATCAGCGAGGAGCACACGGACGCGAGCGACAGACGTTCTTTAATGA